TTCTATTGGATGAAGAATTTTTATCAAAAGGAGGTTGTAAATTGTAACAAAACAACAATTTAGTCTTTCATCATTTTCCCTTATTTTTCCAGTGGCTTCCGTTTGCATGGTAAACTGAATAGCAAGCTCTATGATATGAACAGAATATTCACAGTAACTGAAATAATATATAATTGATTTTATTTATTCCCAGTATCTTAAAATTTTACTAAGGACTATTGTAAAATGATTCCTTCACCTAGTTGGTATTGCTATCTGGTGCTATTCTGATAGGAAATGTATGAAGATTAATTAAAAGCAAGGTTTTTACAAAACTGTTCTTATTTTCTAATGAACTTCAAAGAAATAGCTAAAATAAATTTGTACAGGTGACTAAAGAAAAGTTTTAAATCAAAACATGAATCAGTGACTTATTCGTTAAATGGCTAGAATTTCGACTGGTGAATAGTAATCTTTAATTCAACTCAGAGTAATTTTCGGGCCAATGAGTCTCACAACAAGTACTCATATACTGAAACACTGCCAAAAGACAAGTGCACAAGTATGTACATGGTTACTGAGTTAAATTGGGCTCATCGTCAAACGTGAAATATATAAATTCCCCTTATTTTCGCCATTTAGAACAGTCTAAATACATCTTAAGTATAGTTATTGTACCTTATTTTAGAATTGAAAATCTTATTGGAATATTTTCTTTTGTCTTAGGTTATTAATGAAAAACGATGTAGGAAAGGAGCAAAATACTAAGATGATTACTAACTTCAATAAGAAAACTGGAACAAAGCGTGTTGATAACCGGAAGCTTTACAGAAGAAAACATAAAGAGCATCTAGCTATGGTCAACAATCATCACTATACCAAAAATGACAGGAACAGACATTATATTCTTAGTGTATATTCTGATGGTAGTGTATCAGAATCAAACGGTATGTATATGGTCAAACACTGTGGGTACCGTAACAAGAAACATTTAAAACATTTTGATAGTAAAGCACAAGTTATTGACTCCGATTCTCCCGCTACAACTGATGTAGGTATTACTTATACTAGCAAACGTTCGAGGAAATGTATCAACGAACGTTTTATGCATACGGAACATATTCAACGCGTCAGTCATTCACATAAACATAAGACATGTCATTCTTATTCAAAAATACGACCGGCAAAACACACAGATTTACTACATAACAAAATTCAACCAACAAGTGGCAGTCTGTGTAATACGGCTAACAACGATACTGAGTGTGATAAATATGTCAGAGATTGCGAAAAGACTTTCGATGCTAAAATTCATACCTTATCATCATTTAGTGAAAGATATACGCTATCTAATAGTGAATCCAATCCACTGAATTTATCTTTTCTAACAAGAGAGAATACAACCAATAATATGAATCGCTCATTTTCTTCATCTGACATACCTTATACCAGACATGGAGAATACATTTAAATGATCCCAATCAGCGGAACATCCTGCAGCAGTATTCATTTCCACATACAGTAAATACGCTTATTTTAAAGGAATAAGTGTGCACATATTCGGAGAGTTAACATGAAACGCGCACACATTATCTCTTAAGTAATATTACATATATAAATAAACAAATGAAAATGCTTTAAGAAACTGCTGCTGTACAGTACTTTTATAAGTCAATCAAAAATGGCCTACCTCATACTTAATGAAACAAAACTCCAAATTTCTCTTTAATTAATCCTTAAACTCAGGAAAATTTTATATTACTCGTAAATAGATTTATTAGAAATATATAATGTTACTTTTTTTCAAATATCAGTAACCATTTAATTAACTGAACACATAAGCATTTCTAGGGGAATATATTTTAGGAATCATAGTCTATCTGATCGATCAAGTGAACAAAAGGACGGAAGATATTTCTACTTATAATCAACTCGAAGTTTTACAATTAAAATATCTATCTGACTTCTCAGTATAGAAGTCAGCTGTTCATCAATAAAGGTTCAAGATCGGAAATAAACAACTTAGTGGATTATTAATCTAATCAGTCATAAATATAGACAATTAAATGATTAACAGTCCATTCAAATTACATTTTGACTCTTTTCAAAAAATTCGTCTAGGCAAAGAATTACAGTGATCATGAGAATTATTAATCGGTTGTCGTAACCATATATATATATATATGTTCTTAATATTTCTGGTCATCCCCTTAAACATCTTCTTAAGCTTAGTCACAACACTAACCTAAGAGGTAACTCCCAGAAAATGGAGACCCAATATAACAGAACAGACTGCAGACACAACTTCTACTCCGTAAGTCGTCGAATGCTGGGATTCGCTGCCGACTGAGCGACTTCTCAGGAGTTCTATAAGAGGAAATTTGACTTATTTCTTAAGGACTAAGGATAACATATTATTTTGATTTACCAAATTCTTTTTTTTCCTCTATTATCGTTATTATACCTAGGTTCTTGCCTGGAGGTATTGGTGATCCACTGCTACTAGACACGGAAGCGCGCTAAACGAAAGCTTCTTCTATTCCGTTCTCACCCATTTGAACACCATGCTAGTAATACAGAAGTTCGGAAACGTGAGTTCGGACATAGTGGCAACAACTCGGTTGATGTCACAATCTTGAAACATTGACTTCAATGGCTTGAACCACTAGGCTTGTAGTGCCGCGATCGATTAACGAAGCACTACACTACAGGCTACCTGTCAGTGCCATCTAGATATTTCAACAACTTATCTAATTTTGTTTTACTACATCATTATGGCTATTAATTGCATAACCTATTCAGGTTCGTTTCTGGAGAAAGTACAACCCTCCGTTGTACAAGTTACAAAATGCCCAATTAGAGGTATCGTGGTTACTGGCAATATACGGCGAAAAGGATGTACATTATTGAGGTGTCGATTTATGAACTTGCACTTGGTTGGAGCTACATCTAAATTTTTCATGAAATCAGTTAGAATCTCCTGACTTAAAATCAATCGCAATGGTACACGTGTACACAAAAACAGTAAGACCCATGAACAAAGCACGTCGGGAACAAGGTCATTAGAGAGGAATGACTGTGGAGCGAAAACACCAACCTCTACTTGAGGTGAGCACTGTCGATTTCTAAAATGAAACCGAGAGCTTCCGATTAAGAGAACTCAGCTTTATGAGAAAATACCCGTCTGAGCTGCAAATCATTACAAATACACATATAAAGTGGGATCTTTACGCTATTGCTGTTTTGTGTTGTGAATAAAACAAACTACATTTATTTCACTTATGTCGATAATAGCAAACAGTTATCAGCTCCTCACGACAGTTAAGAAATATTCAGTAATATAAGGAATGATAGTTGATGCGGAACTAACCAAGTGAACGTTTTTCGTCATAGATCAATTTTGCGTCACATATCAGGAACCTAACTTTTCACAAGATTTATACTGATGTTATCGCGTAAAACAAACAATAAATTCAAGCTAATTAGGCAAGCAACTACATAATAAAGCTGTTGTGATAAATACAGCTAGACAGTTTCAACGCTCCATACATTTAGTTCTTTGTTATCCTGTTCTAGCACTCTTCAAATTACAACACCATCAAGAAAAAATTCAGACAACTATCCCGAAATTTATACACTTGATAAAGGCGAAAACCGATTAGATGGCCTAGTCTTCCGTCTGTACAATAACAAACCTGACGTAATTTATTCTTCTCAGATAAATTTGGTTAAGTATTTTAAAACTTGACTAGAGCAAATGTAAATAAAGTGGACCACGTTAACTAGAAATCCATATGCTTACATACAATTCAGTCGTATGAATGAAAAAATATTGTATTTTACCTTCAAAAGGTCATGGAAACTAAGTGGAATCAGTTTTCAACATTATTCACCCACTGAGTAGAAAAATTAGATTTTCTGACGTTTCGCGACTCAGTGTAAGCCACTTCTTCAGAGAATAAATATCTAATTTTTCTACTCATTGGGATATTACAAATATATAATTTATTTAAAACAATCTACCCAATGCTCAATTTATTCAAAATTATTCACCCACTGTTTCAATGTCATACGATGAGTTGTAACTACAGGGTCGACTTGATTTCAGTAACTATCGAGCCACTACAACCTAAAAGCATGTACTTTTTAAATATGTTAGTTAACTGGGTTACACGTTGTCACACTTGAGAGTCCTAGAAACCATGCCGTACAAGGGGTCAGGCAGATATTATTGAATACAAAACCATCGAATGCACCAACATCGGAATGATTGGAAGTAAGTATGAAACGTAATCAAGTGTTCATCAAGGGTTGGTCCACACATTGATGGGTTGTAGAACATGCATATTCTCATCCATTTCACCACTCATTTATTTATGACAATGTGAATAATTTATGTATTCAACTAACAATATAAGAAAACCATGTAGCTATTGGAGTGATGACTTATAGACTAAAGCATTTAACTTGTAGCCGCTAAATTGCGGATTCAGACCTCACCTTACCTAATTAGGTTTGGGTAATCAGGTAGTTTCACTAGCCCTCACACGTAACGTGTGACTCGAAGTACACGAGTTCGTATTTAGTATGAGTTAATAATAATCTCTAGAGAGGGTAAAGATTTGTAGTTCAAGTGAATTATTTTGGCCAGATTTCGTCATTCGAGCAGGACGGTTCAGTCGCAAAAATCTTACTTTTTTCCTGAACATCATATGCAAAAACTTCTACCTGAACACAAGAAGCAACTAGCAAACTTTGAGGAATGTCAGATAAAGGTTAACTAATAGGCACATGGACGATTTCATTAATACCGTCATCTATACTCAGTAATATTTTTTTTTAAATGAACATAAAGAGCGTGGAGATATACTAATATTTGAAAATGTAACTTCTAACAGCGAGACGAAAAGATAAGTTAGTACTTCTTAAAATACACCCAATAGAAATCAGAAGCATCCTCTGTTATGAAAAAGGGAGGTATCGCTAATTAGTTTTTCGAACAAGGAGATTGAATCACCGTTTTATCCCACAATGACGGTATTTTCATCCACAAACTTGTACTGAGGTATTTCCAAGTTAAGAGGAGCGGGGCCTTTCCTTACACGACCAGATGCATCGTAATGACTACCGTGACAAGGACAGAAGTAACCTCCGGGGAAATCGCCGGCGTGTGCTACTGGAACACAACCTGTAGAAGAAGAAAAGTCATCAATTACAGGACATCAGACAAAGACGCACAACACATGAGGCAACATATTTACTAACATGATTACAGTTAAATAATAAGGAAGTCCGTAAAATCTTACATGATGCTTCATTATGGCTCCTTTTAACAATGAGTGTCGCAGTATTTCATCCTCATCTCATTTCGGACTATTTTTGTATCACAAACCTCTGTTAGGTATGAGAGGAAATACTACGGTAATTGCAACTCTAAACAGAAAAACAATTACCGTATTTAACAGTTTGTAAAATGCTATATTACCATAAGGCAAATCTCAACAACATTATCAGACATTGGAAATACCTCGATGTCATAAATAAATCATATTAGCGCAATATTTTTTCAGTGATACTCGCATACCAGGATACGTGAATATCATGAAAGATACTTCAGATGAATATTGCCTAGTTTTTTTACTTAGATGGTATGTGTATTATATACTAGCCTACAAAGTCAAGATAACAAGAAATGTAAAAGGTAATATCCTGTATTCGATGAACGAGGGAACGACTAAGTACATTAATTGTCACACTAGCCATATCTTTTACCAGCAACAGCTTCAAAGGCAAAGCATTGAGGATGCTTCACACCGCGTAAATACAATCCCACACAAGTTGTCGAGAAGAACAATAATTGGAGTGGATGAGGAAATGATGCGAATTTTTTCCCAAGTTATTTAAAGATTGGCAAAGATCCCAACATTGAAGGGAAATCATAGGTTTATACATTTTCAGTCAAGCTTGTTATGGCGCAACTTCGCCTGTAGCTCTTCTAGGTTTACTGCCGGTCTCAAGCCTACAAAAAGGAGGAAGGTTGGGCATGGGGTCAGCTAACCCAACCTGTGGAAAACGCTGACCAAAAAATAAACAGATTAAACAATTCAAACTGTCCTGGGACAAAGGTGATCTTTATTCAAAAGAATTATGACGCCTCATGGAAAAACCAAGACTATTTGGAAGTCAAGAGGTACATGTGGCCTGCTTGAATATCTGGTCTACCTGATCCTGCCATTTAGATAGTTCAACAAGTTATCTGTATCCTTTGTTTCAACAGATCATCAAGTCAATTAATTGCATAACCTGTTCAGGTGCGTTTGTGGAAAGTTCTCGACCTTTCGCTGTACAAGTTACAAAGATGTATAATCGGAGACATTGTGATAGTTGGCAATATGCATTAAAAAGAAAAAAAGATTATTCAGATGTCGACTCCTAAAATGCTAATATCTAGTTGACGATCACTAAATATTTAACGTCTATATCGACCAAGAAATAAGAAACGGAATCTCGCTGAAATACGTTGTGCCGAGAACTCTATATTGTACCAAAAATATAGTATTGAATCAGGCTAATAGTAATTATTTTTAACAGTATTAATAACCATAATAATACCCTTTCTAACAATCAAATTAACAATTAATATATGTACATGGAATGTCCGGACAATGTGAAAGACCAATCAAGCAGTTACGGAAATAAGGAGATAGAACTTGGTGAAGCTCAGAATAAGTGGAACACATTGGACCCAAGCTTGACGGAAAAGATTAGATTGGGGAGAGATACTGTTATACTCTGGTCACGAGGAAGGAAATGCTCCTCACACCCAAGGAGTTTCATTGGTGCTGTCCAAAAAAGCACGAAAAGCGCTTATAAGATGGGAATCTCATGGATTCAAAATCATCAAAGCATCCTGCAAAAACAAGACAAAAAGAGAGGGAACCACGATGAATGGTATCCAACGTTTTGTACCAAACAATGATGGTAGTGACGACGATAAAAGTCAGTCTTACGAAAGGCTGCAATTAATCATGGCGAAGTGTTCGGGAAAGGACCTGACCATCCTGATGGGAGACCTAATTGCCAAAGTCGGAATGGACAGCATCGGGTATGAAGATATCATGAAACGACATAGACTGACTGGGAGAAAGGAACGAGAATGGTGAGGCTTTTGAATTCATGTGCATTCAACACCTCCGGGGGGTTCTGCCGGTCCCAAACCGGATAAAAGAGAAGGGGGGTTGGGCATGGAGTTAGCGAACCCATCCCGTAGAAAACCAACTCTCTAAAAAAACGCTAACCACAGAAAATAATACAAACCATTTAAATTCTGCCCTGGTAGAATTATGACGCCTCATGATGAAAGCCAAGTTCATTCGAAGTTACGAGGCCGATGCACCTTCTTACAACCAGAGCAACAATTTTTATAGGTACATGGAACGTCCGGATAATGTGGGAGACCGGAAGAGTCTTCCAAATCGCTGCAGAAATGAGTACATAAAACGTAGGGGTGCTTGGGATCAGTGATACACATTGGACGCAGGTTAGATAACAACGACTAACTTCAGGGGAGCTTCTGTTATACTCCGGTCATGAAGAAGAAAATGCCCCACATACATAAGGAGTTGCATTGATGCTGTCCAAACAAGCACAAAATGCACTTATTGGATGGGAATCTCATGGACCAAGGATCATCAAAGCCTCCTTCAAAACAAAGAGAGAGGGCATTACAATGAACGTCATCCGATGCTATGCGCCGACCAACGACGACGAAGAATACGTTAAAAACTGATTCTACGATAGGCTGCAGTCGAACCTCAAGAAGTGCTCAACAAAGGATCTGACCATTCTGATGGGAGATTTAAACGCCAAAGATGGAATGAACAACGCCGGATAATAAGACTTCATGGAAAGACATGGACTGGGAGAGAGAAACGAAAATGGTGAGAGATTTGCAAACCTATGTGCTTTCGATAAACTAGTCATAGGTGGCACTATATTTCCACACAAAAACATACACAAAGCAACTTGGATTTCACCGGATCACACTACACAGAATCAAATCGACCATATCTGCATCAACAAAAAGTTCAGGAGGATGATAGAGAATGTGAGAACCAGAAGAGGAGCTGATATAGCCTCAGATCATCACTTGCTGGTCGCCAAGATGAAACTAAAACTCAAAAAGCACTGGACAACGAGGCAGACAACATCACAAACGTTTATTACAGCCTTTCTTCGGGATACTGACAGACTCAACAAATTCAAGATAGCCCTCAGCAATAAAATCCAGGCCTTTCATGACCTACTCAACGGAGAGGGAACTACTATGGAGAGTAACTGGAAAGGGATAAAAGAGGCAATCACTTCAACAAGTCAGGAGGTTCTGGGCCATAAGAAGCACCATCACAAGGAATGGATCACTGTTGGTACACTGGATAAGATTGAAGGAGGAACAAGAAGACAGTAATCAATACCGGCCGAACAAGAGCAGAAATAGCAGAGGCACAAGTTGAATACACAGAAGTAAACAAGCAAGTGGAGAGGAGCATCAAAACGAAAAACGTAAATATGTGGAAGATTTAGCAATGACAGCCGAAAAGGCCGAAAGAGAAGGAAACATGAGACAACTTACGATACAACAAAGAAACTCGCTGGAAATTGCCGTAAATTAGAACGACCATTAAAAAGCAAGGAAGGAAAAGTAATCACCAACATTGAAGAACAGCGAAACAGGTGGGTAGAGCACTCCAAGGAACTATCGAATCGACCAATCCCATTGAACTCACCCAACATCGATGTTCGCCCACCAACAATTGAAGAGATCAGCATGATCATCAGACAAATCAAGAGCGGCAAAGCAGCAGCACCAGAAAACATTCCGGTAGAGACACTGAAAACAGATGCAGCAGCAACTGCAAAGATACTCTACATTCTCTTCAGTAAGATTTGGGACGAAGAACAAGTTCCAACAGACCGGAGAGAAGGATACCTCATCAAGATACCAAATACGAACACCTCAGGCAGAGTGAGGGCATACAACCACCTTTCTCCCTTGTTCCATTCGAGCAGTGGGGTTAGGCAGGGTTGCCCAATCTCACCATTCCTCTTCAAATTTGCCATCAACGATATCCTGGAAACAGCTCTGATGGATGTGAGTAATGGCGGTGTGGATCTGCTGTCTGGAGAACGACTTCTCGACCTTGAGTATGCGGATGATATTGTTTTACTGTGCGATAATGCCCAAGGCATGCAATCCACACTTAATCAGTTGGCAATCAGTGTCCGCAGGTACGGCATGTGCTTTACACCCTCCAAGTGCAAGGTACTCCTACAAGACTGGCAGGATTCTCATCCTGTACTCACCCTGGATGGTGAGGAGATTGAAGTAGTTGAGAAGTTCGTGTATCTAGGTAGCTACATAAGTGCTGGTGGTGGCGTGAGTGATGAGATTGATGCACGTAAAATGAAAGCCAGAGCGGCTTATGCCAATCTGGGCCATCTTTGGCGCTTTCGTGATGTTAGTCTGGCTGTAAAAGGTCGGATCTACAACGCGTCGGTGAGAGCTGTTTTGCTCTATGCTTGTGAAACCTGGACTCTCCGAGTTGAGGATGTTAGACGACTCTCTGTGTTCGATCGTCGTTGTCTCCGAAGGATTGCTGACATACAGTGGCAACACCATGTTAGTAATGCAGAGGTTCGGCATCGTGTGCTCGGGCGCAGGGACGATAATTCAATTGGTGTCACCATCTTGAAACACCGACTTCGGTGGCTTGGACATGTTTTACGAATGTCGTCCCAGAGGCTTCCACGTCGTGCATTATTTGCCGACTCTGGGACTGGTTGGAAAAAGCGGAGAGGAGGTCAGTGTATGACATGGTGTCGTGGCATGAAAGAAAGCTGCAAAGGGCTAGCTTCTGTTGGTCCTTCACGACTCCCTGGCTGGGGTCCGAGAGATGTTGCAACACAGTGGCTAGAGACGTTATCAGATATGGCTCAGAATAGAAGCCAGTGGCGAGGCTGCTGCAACCTTCTTTTACTTTCTACATAAAGAGCAGCTATAACTTTCCTAACTGAGAGAGCTCTTCTGGTTCTACATTTCAGTTCCCCCCATCATAACTCTTCTCCTTTCCTTTTTTTCCTTCCTTTATATATACGCATCTTCTTCCTTCTCCTCCCATTCTCATTATTTTGTATGGCGCATATATATCCGGTGCCCTTTGTACCAATATATATGATTAAATAAATAAATAGTAAGATACCAAAGGAAGATCTGAGCAAATGTGAGAACTACAGAGGTATCACTCTTTTTCCAATACCAGGAAAATTCTTCAACGGGGTATTGTTAAACAGGATGAAGGACTCCGTAGACACCCAACTTCGAGATCAACAAGCTGGATTCCGTAAGGATCGGTCGTGCGCAGACCGAATTGCGACACTACGGATCATCGTCGAACAATCAGTTGAGTGGAACTCGTCACTATACATTAACTTCATTGACTACGAGAAGGCGTTTGACAGTGTGGACAGGAAAACATTATGGAAACTTCTTCGACACTGTGGAGTTCCTCAGAAGATCGTCAACATTATCCAGAGCTCATACGACGGACTACAGTGCAAAGTGGTGCATGGAGGACAGATGGATTTTCAGTAAAAACCGGAGTCAGGCAAAGCTATCTACTCTCCTCCTTTCTCTTTCTTCTGGTGATTGACTGGATTATGAAGACCCCGAATTCCGAGGAAAAGCACGGAATGTAATGGACAAGTTGGATGCAGCTAGACGATTCGGACTTCGCTGATGACCTAGTCCTCCTATCTCATACACACGAACAAATGCAGACGAAGACAACTAATGTAGCAGCAGCCTCTGAATCGATAGGCCTCAACATACAACATGGAGAACACCAACCTGGTCACACTTGGTGGGGAAACTCTGGAAGATGTGGAGACATTCACGTACCTGGGAAGCATCATTGATGTACAAGGAGGATCGGATGCAGAAGTAAAGGCAAGGACTGCATTCCTACAGTTGAAGAACATATAAAACTCAACTGTCAACCAATATCAAAGTCACAATCTTCAACACAAATGTCAAGACAGTTCCACTGTACGGAGCTGGAACTTCGGGAACTACCACAGCCATCATCAAAAAAGTACAAGTATTGATAAAAAATTGCCTACGTAAGATACTCAATGTCCGTTGACCGGATACCACCAGCATTTGCCTACTGTGGGAAAGAACAAAACAGCTTTCAACTGAAGAGGAAATTAGAAAACAGTGATGGAGCTGGACAGGACAAGCATCGCGGAAATCACTAAACTGCATCACAAGGCAAGCACTAACCTGGGATCCTGAAGGGAAACAGACAAGAGGAAGACCATAAAACATACTGCGCTGGGAGTTGGGAGCGAACATGAACAGAATGAGTGGAAACTGGAAACACTTAGGAAGGCTTTCCCAAGACAGATTTCGATGGAGAATGTTGGTCGGCGACCTGTGTTTCTACACGATGGGTATTAAGCGTAGGTAAGTAAGAGATCATCGCTACCAGTGTTTCATGTCTCAATCCTTGGAAAAGAAAGTCATTCCATGGTCAATTACGTATACTTATCACTTGGTGATTTTCTGATTGGTCCACTGTATCACGTTGCCCTACTAAAAATAGGTCTGCGTTCCCTGATTTAACTGAAGACGCTGAGATGGGTGCATATCACCTTACTCTTTTGAGAAATACGTAAAAAACAAGGTTTATTGCTTTTGGTTGCAAATAACTTGTAGCTCTAGTCATATGCTTGTCATATCTTAGCGTTAATACTGGTCGATTAGGATTTACCTGCATCTAGTGATGACGTGGTCAATTCACAAGTTCCATTTTTTCTAATGTCTGGTCCTAGTTTAAGTAACTCCTCAAATCCAGTTTTCAGTTGTTGTTTTTCAAGTCGCTATTGTAATAGATGACGCAAACAAATGTATAAACGTTGATTTCAGTAGCAGAAGAAAAATTGACCCTCCAACACAATGGTGTGTTTAGCAGATCTCAGTTACTGCTCATCGGCGCATTGAAGGAATATGTGCTCCAGCAATCCAATCCGGAACCACGCTCAAAAATCAGATATATTTAGTGATGTACCTGATATATTTCTTATTGAAATAAAGAACAAATTTATGATAGAGGAAGGTCAACCAAGTCATTCGTCAGATTTCACTCATTCTAATGACCTGATTATGTCGAGTGAAATTAAAAATAATTGAAAATGTTTTAAATGAGTCAATTTCTGATCAGATTTTTGACGTTATTTTATCAGATGTCGATTGATCTAATGATTCATTTATTTCCAACGAAATCCTTAATAAATCTGAGGAAATTTCAAATGAATCAAACCCTAAGTTTTTGGTGTCATATTAGTTGTTTGTCTTCGCAGTACATTTGTTTTAAGTGCATTTTCTAATCAATGTGAGAATTATAACTTAAATGAGTCAAATCCTGATCACATTGCTGATATTGTTATACCAGATATTGGATGTTTTCATGTCTCATGGATTTCAAGTAGAATCATGAAAAGGTCTAACGAAGTTAATCAACGTATTACGTATTACGTATTTTTTTGCCCCCAAATGCCTTGGTACGGCCGAGAGTGGGGAGAGTCACCTCTCCCTCTCGAAATGCACTCATATGGCCAACGAATATACAGCCTCTGCCAGGGAAGTCCTACTCACTGCCTTCTCGTGGTGGGGGTGTTGTTTACGAAAGTGAGAGGACGAAAAGCGAATGTCCGGCGCTTTAATCGGGTTGGTGGACATGGAGGGTTCACCTATGGGAGTTGGAAAATCCTGATTCCGAACCAGTGGTGCACATGGGCTCCAGTATCATGAGGGAACAAATGGCGTACGAATCAACCGTTGATCATCGGCTACCATGGGACTGCATCTCCTCACGATGCTCCACTGCCTTGTGGATCAGATATTCAGGTCAAAGGCTTCGGGTGTGGCCCCCTAAGAAAACCACCTGCTTCAGTTTGGGCACCTGGGCAGTATCACAGCCCTCACACAAATCGAATGAGATTTGTGTGGCGCATATATATCTGGTGCTTCCTTGCACCAATATTTATGTGTTTAAATAAAATAAAATAAACGTATTACGAAGATACAATGCCAGATTGCTTCCTGAAGATCTTGAAAACCGTATGAAGGTAAAAGCTTTTGGACTCCTTCACTTCATAATTATCTACTTAGAATCGAATGAAGGTCAGGAAGAAGACATCCCAAATGAAAATCTTAGTTTACATAAAAATAAAGTGGTTGGAGAAAGTAAAACAGGGTCTATGGAAAGTTTTGTAGCCAGCACCAGTTCAAATTCAGCCTAATCATCGCAGTTAACATTTTCCGAAATATTTCCCATTTTAAGTTAAGGACCTTTAGTTTTAGTTTCACAATATTTAGCTGAGTTTATAGTAAATAATTGCTCGCGTTTGTTACAAGACAATTCACATGACAAGTATTCTGTCCAGTGAGAATAATTGGTGTTAAAAGTCTAAGCCTAATTAAAAATCAGGAAGGAATATCTTAAACATAACACCGATAGTGAAACTTCAATCTGTAAGTGAAACAAAAATACGGTTTCTATAAAAACAAAAGTGGATATCAAACAAGTCAAAAGTACCATCATTTTTCCAATGCTATCACACAAAGATCCCATAAAATTTCGTGAGGGTGAGGTGATGTGGCGAACAATAACTTAGTCAATTTGAGTGCAAACAACATTTAATTGATTCTTCTACAAATTTTCTGTGCAATGTAATCACATTTCTAAGAGTAGCTATATAACTTAGCAAGTTATATTTGTTGGTTAAAGATGCTTAGTGACATAATACTGGAAACACGTCCACATAGTGAGTTATCGATTATTTGATGTTAAATATTACTAGATCCCCTTTATACAAATCTGACTACACAGAAAAAACAGGGTATTCATACATTGTTCTAAGGAGTCAAATAAATTCTTATCCAACATCTTTGTGTCCTTACTTGCGTCGTTTGATTCACCGTTCCCAATACCAAGTACCAAGTCAGTTGAGCATTCTGCAGAAATAAGTTTCGTCACTTACTATTCAAATACAAGTGCAGTTACCAGGTCGAAAATTCTGTTATAATTAGACACTAGCCCATGAACCCGACATTCCATTTCGAGTGCTCAATAAATCAAACACATGACTTATTTATGGTTTCTGACAAGAAATCTAAACGACTTAACGGAACTATTGTTGAGTTGCCATCATCTCACTATTACAAGACCAACTAAGCAACTACCGTCAAATGAATACGCACCAACACTGCACGATTAAAAATATGAAAATATAGTGCAAAAAACAATATCAAATCTTATCCTCATGGGTTTTGATGACTACGTTTGTATAGCACCTTTCATTCTATCATATGCAGATAATTTATTTATAGAGATTACTCAAAAACGATGCAACCAGATGAAAGTTGTCAGGAATAAATATTTTATCAAAGGTTATTTTGTCATCGTCTTCTGCATCTTTTACATCGTCATAGTGGTAGGTAGTTTTATGTGGGATACTTTTTATATCCGACTTCAAATCATTTATCAAACTGTTGACTTTCAGTCCAACGGCTGTCTTCTTTAGAGATGCCGTTTGAAACCGTATTCCCTAACTGGTGTAATATTTGTGACAGAATGTGTTTTTATTGAAATTCTTAGAACCCGTACAGCCTTGGGTCATAAGATGACTAAATAATGTTAAAGGTTTGGAGATAACTCTAGAACAAAATAACAATCTCATGAACAATGCGGAAAAGACAAAAGTATACGTCACCTTTATTTTCACACTATTGTTTTCATGAGAGTTAACACAGCAGCAGTGAATACTTTAATTGGATGACGTAAAATTGATAATACTCAGCTGTGCAGCTTATAGTGAAAACTGAATGAGTGATCTTAGTGAGCCTATAAACAATTACTAAATTACATCAAATTAAAAAAAAGGCTGATACTGACCCGACAGCGAGGTCTGAAGAAAAATTAAAGATAAGTTTTAACGACATAATAAGCTTTATGCTTACCCAAATGTGTACATACGCCCAGACAAATCAGCCATTTATCCACTTTTACACGATCTTGATCTAGCTGAGGATCTCTTAAGCTTTCCAAAGGAACAGCACGTTCACGAGCAATTTCTTCCGCTGATCTGTGGCGAATGAAAAGAGGTTTATTACGCCATTTGACTGTAACATTTTTTCCTTCAGGGATAGAAGCCAAGTTGACTTCGGTGGAGGCTTCTGCCATAGTTTTAGAGGAAGGTCCCAGAGGTTCAATGAACATTCTAACGGTGTACTTGGCTGATGTAGTGGCAATCATCGCAGTCGCTGAAATAATGAGACCGATAAGATTGTTTACGCAACTAATTGAGTACCTTTTACAGAATAAAACAGAAATAATTCAGCCCATATAAATATACCAGACCAGTTGCAACGGACTACACAAAAATTATGTTATGAAGTGGCTAAAATGTTTCTCAACTACCAAAGTTAAAACGATGTTTAAGTATTGAACTGAGTGAATTAACTTTGCATAAGTTAAGAGCAACCGACCAATAAAAGCCTCTTGAACAGTATGTAAATGAAGTGATGAGTTAATGCACTATTGCCAACATTAATCACTGAACAATATACAAATAATATCAGTCTACAACGTTACCGTCGTTGTAATCTCCCTGAAGCCAATAAAGCCTCTTCGTTGTTGGTCTCAGGAAGCTAATTTATTATGGCCAAGCTATGAAAGTGTTATTCTATGTGACATGACTTACAAAGGGGATATACCCAGATGCTTAAAAACTCGGAACTGAAGTTAAGTCTAATAGTAAACAGCTAGGGAACGAGGTACACACGAAGGACTGGTGTAGTGAACTACAACATATATGAGACGATTATGTGCTAGTGTGAAAGATCGTTCCACCTTAAATGTGCTTGTGAATTCTTTGGCGGTCTGAAGAACTTAGTGATAACATCTCAGACTATGAAGCCGAATGACGTATTTCCGTGCTACATGTAGAGCGACGGTCCTGAGGAAACAGCATAACTTGGTGTATACACCAGTGGTTTAGATTTCTGTTTCAAAAGGCACTCACCAAACATCATCGTATAAGAGAATATCTTGCGCTGTATTTCGGTGTCAGCAGCCCGTGATTGAGGGTCTTTGGTAGACTCTAGGCGGTACTTCGAGAAATCAGGAACATTTGCAACGTCCGTGTGTGCAGACCGGATCTGCATTGGAGCTAATACAAATACATTAAGAAGAAAATCGATTACCAGATAAACTGCAAGTGCATGAAGTGAACGGAGAGCTCGGAAGTGATCGAAGTAGACTATGAGAAGACTTTACAACAGGTGCTGGCGGGAGGACGTCTTTCTTTTTAGGCACAACACTAAAAAGATCAGTGTTTTCACAAGAAAACGGGATGGTTCTGCATTTAACGACGCCTCCTAAGTTCTTTAGGTAACGCATAACGAAACAGTTTTAAAATGTTGCGCTCTGACGACATCGACTCTAAGGGTTAAAACAATAGAAACATGATTGATTCCTTCGTTTAATAAGCCCAAGTTCCTGGTGAGAAAAAAATCACTGTTGCCTTAAAACTGGGGTCTATCTTTAAAACATAAAGTGAAGTAAGAACGTTATCAGTAAATGAGAGCGACTTTTCTGAGTCTTCGGGGATACATCAGTTATCTGCTTAAAGGACATAAGTAAGGCTGTTTAGAGCACCTCTGAATGTAGTAAAACTTTGAGGCTGTTATGCCTGAAACTAAATCGATTCCGCGGTAACGAACGAAAGCCAATGACACAATGACACGATAAGCTATTCTAATCTGTTGTCCCAGGCCCCGCTAACTAGATGAAGAAGTCCAAGGCAAGTAGGGGAATATATATGTATTCCGTAAGCAGCCGAGTACAAGCAATCGAATAATGGAAAAAGTCAAGCGCATTTATACAACAACAATTTGTCCTTGAGCGTCATTGGTAAATAGCACACACAAAGAAACAAAGGACCAATAGCGGTTAAGATAGTTTACAGGTGGGAAATATGACGTGAAGGTAAAAAGAGCGCTTTTGGCGCGAAAACAGCTAAATTCAAATTTTCAAAAGAAAACTACAAGATTAAGCCATTTACCAAGTAAGTTCTGGGGATTTGACATCCCCAACACCTCCCCTTTTTAAGAAATCCGAGCTCCTCCTCCCCCACGAAATAGTGTTGGATCCTCATATACCCAATTTTCTACTAATGCGATTCTATTTATAACATGTTTCTGGCATTCAATAGGGAACCTGCTAAGATTGATTGGATGGTGAGGATCGACACTTGATGTGAGGTCAGAATTTGATTCTGCAGAAATGTAGTCATTAGACTTATTGCAAACATCACTGGCAGGTTGTGGATCACTTTGAAAAACAGTGTCCAGCAAAACTGCGCTAGGTTCCGGATTTGATGCATGTAACAAATTTCCTGGACAAGCTTGGGAATCTTTGGCATTAGATTCGGTAAAAATTTCTATTGCAGAATGCGATTCGCTCGGTGTGCTGCTCGATATGATGTCTGGCACTTCGTAGGTGATTGGTGCGACCACTTCATGAGCTTTTAACATAGCATCGTGTTGATGAGAGCTGAAAGCGTCATTGATAGGACCTGCTAATTCCAGGATAGTGGAGTTTGAATCCACTACCGAGCATGTTGCTGAAACGGATAGTGATGGACAACCGGGCATGTCTTGTGATACTGCAGTTTCGTTTAGGTTGCGGCTTGTTGAGGAATCATGGGGGCTGCGATCATTTGCTAGCTCTGTGTGCAATTCAGAGATTAATACATCCACTTCTGACGCATATGTGAAGCATTGATGATCAAGAAACTGTGTACGTAGTTTGACCATGAACTCCAAATGTCGGTCAAAGAGCAACTGTAAGCGGTCAGAAGGGAGCGTCATTTTTCACTTTTGTCCCCGTCGCCAATTGTTATGCCTACAGACTAAATCGATTCCGCGGTAACGAACGAAAACCAAATGACACAATGACACGATAAGCTATTCTAATCTGTTGTCCCAGGCCCCGCTAACTAGATGAAGAAGTCCAAGGCAAGTAGGGGAATATATATGTATTCCGTAAGCAGCCGAGTACAAGCAATCGAATAATGGAAAAAGTCAAGCGCATTTATACAACAACAATTTGTCCTTGAGCGTCATTGGTAAATAGCACACACAAAGAAACAAAGGACCAATAGCGGTTAAGATAGTTTACAGGTGGGAAATATGACGTGAAGGTAAAAAGAGCGCTTTTGGCGCGAAAACAGCTAAATTCAAATTTTCAAAAGAAAACTACAAGATTAAGCCATTTACCAAGTAAGTTCTGGGGATTTGACATCCCCAACAGAGGCCTGATCATCCATTATGAGCATGAGATGTTCCAACTGTAGGCTCTACAAGTTTAATCTCTTAGTTATTTATTTCACCAGGATTTCGAGTTGGAACTGGAATTATGGACGCCTGATGGTGTTAAAATTCTCTAGGCAATAGAATATACCATCTTGGCCATCACGGATAAAAGCTACGTCATTTGAGACCATTCTGGAAAACCAAGACCATGAGTTCTTGTGTACATCTTGAGGCTCGATATGGGACGGTTTGCCGCGTATTCGCACAATCATAGTAGAGATGAAACAAAAACCCATGCATAACTAACTCTGTACATCTCTTACATTGATGCTGACCTCATTAGTTTTAATTGAATCACCTAGCTGAAGGTGCTCTGTTGACAAAGGTTGGATCAACGCCTCAACAGCATCGATCTACAACATGGCCCAGCAACAGACACGTTGCTTCGAACGCCAGAGGTCACTGGTCAACGAGCCTTTGACGAGGACCTGTTTAGATAGCTATTCTTGACTAAACTTCCTCAACAGGTGAAGACAGTGCTTATCTCATTTCAAAATAACGACAAAAACGAAACTGCAGAAGATTCCGCAGTTTCTCAACCTTCAAACCACCTGACACGAAAACCCTTTCGAGAAACTTCCCCGCCGCCATGTGTGAGTATAGCCGTCTGTTGTACATCACCGATGTGATAACTAATGTTCGCTATCTCGTCGACACCAGTGCAGAAGTTGGAGTTCTTCAAGCAAATTCTAACGACCGACTGCACGAAGCAGTTTTCAACTTACAGGCAGCAAATGGAAAACGGAACGCCGCATACAAAAAGCGATACATTTATCTTAATATGGGTTTACGTAAACCCATTCACTGGATCTTCGTTGTTGCAGATGTTTCTATACCAGTCATTGGTATAGACCTGGTGCAACACTATAGTCTACTCATCGATACGCTCGAACGGGGTTTAGTAGATGGCAACACTAAGTTGTCTGTTTGTGCAACTTTATTTTCCAGTTGTAGATTATTCTCAGTCACTGTAAGGCACATACTCGACCGCTTCTGTCAACATTTACTCGATAAGTACCCTGACATAAATCAAACACGATCAAATTGACTGTGCGTAACCAGCATTGCTGTGCGGCACATCACGGCTACAGAACCACCTTTATTCTCAAAAACGCGCTAACTAGGTCCCGAAAAACTAGGGTTGGCCAAAAATCAATTCCACCACACGTTAGACTTAGGAATTATTCGGTCATTTAACAGCCCATGGTCACCTAACTTGGATATGTTCCCTAAAAAGGACAGCAATGATTGGCATCCAACTGGTAACTATCGGTGGCGGAATCCGTAAGCTACTCCTGGTCGTTACGCGTTACCGCACATTCACGATTCGACAACTACCTTGAAGGGCAAAATTATTTCTTAGAAGACCGATCTGGTCGAGGCGTATAACCGAATTCCCATGACTGCATTGATCTTCCTAAAACTGCTATCATCACTCCGTTTGGACCCGAGGAATTTTAGCGCATGCCTTTCAGTTTAAGAAGTGCTGTACAAAATTTCCAGAAATTCATCAACGACGTCTGTCGATTACTCATCTTCGTACATGAACATCTAGGTGGTTGCTTGGTCTCAAGTCCGTACAGAGAATCTCATATCCAGCATCTTTCTAGAAAATCAATTTATGACATTGAAATTTTGTCTGTTTCCCTCTGAAGTGTTTTTGTTTATTTCAGTTGTTTCCCGTGAACAATTATGAATAGTGACTTTGAGGACTATTTATGGACCAATGTGATATGTATATTTCCTATTGTATAATTGTTAAGTAACTAAACTATTCATATTCGTGTTCCTCTTATCGTAAGCTTTATTTTGACCTATGAACTATTATTATACGATTTACCATTATTGAGTTATCCACAGTCTATTAATTGCTGCTCCCCCTATTAACAGACACATTTGGCCAAATCTTGTACAAATGTTGTTTACTATTTTATGGTATGATGTGGTCAGTTTGTTTGGTATATAAACCCAGTATGTTTGAGAATAATGATTCATATTGCAGAGGCTGTTATTGGTGTTCTGGACTTAACTGTCTGTGCTAAGCAGAAAGCAGGACTGATAAGTACGGCTTTTGTGTATCATTGCTGTGATCGATGATTTGCTCCTCCACAGTTGGCGGGAATCATCACGTCATAAATATTAAAAAGGACGCTCAAGCACTCACTCAATATAACATGAAGCATGCTGTGAGCAAACCGATATTGTAAATTATAGATTATGCACATAAAAATGGCGCGTGCCTGCCCAATCTATTAATTTATTAGTTACGCCTGATACTCCTCATCGGTGAGAAGAAAGTAAACGGACGAGAGTAAGCAGCTTTGTCTGACTCCGGTCCATATCGAAAATCCATCTGTCCTCCATGCACCACTTTGCACTGTAGTCCGTCGTATGAGCTCTGGATAATGTTGACGATCTTCTGAGGAACTCCACAGTGTCGAAGAAGTTTCCATAATGTTTTCCTGTCCACACTGTCAAACGCCTTCTCGTAGTCAATGAAGTTAATGTATAGTGACGAGTTCCACTCAACTGATTGTTCGACGATGATCCGTAGTGTCGCAATTCGGTCTGCGCACGACCGATCCTTACGGAATCCAGCTTGTTGATCTCGAAGTTGGGTGTCTACGGAGTCCTTCATCCTGTTTAACAATACCCCGTTGAAGAATTTTCCTGGTATTGGAAAAAGAGTGATGCCTCTGTAGTTCTCACATTTGCTCAAATCTTCCTTTGGTATCATGATGAGGTATCCTTCTCTCCAGTCTGTTGGTACTTGTTCTTCATCCGAAATCTTACTGAAGAGAATGTAGAGTATCTTTGCAGTTGCTGCTGCATCTGCTTTCAGTGTCTCTACCGGAATGTTTTCTGGTCCTGCTGCTTTGCCGCTCTTGATTTGTCTGATGATCATCCTGATTTCTTCGATATTTGGTTAAGTGACATCTATAGGAATGTTTGTAGGTGCTGCTTCAGTCTCCGATGGATTCAGTGGAGCTGGCCTATTCAACAGTTCCTCAAAGTGATCTACTC